CTGAAGATGCTCCAGAGAAAAGACGTGTGCCTGGACTGTAGAATAAGAAACATCTGGTTTCCAATGTATTCACTAACTATGAGTGAGCCTCAGTTCACTCATATGTTACTGGACCTAAAAATGATACCTAGCTTATTAGGTTATTGAGGGAATTCAGAAGTAAACCTTGTAAAATATTTACACAGCGTCAAAGTATCCAATGAATGTAGCTGCCATAAATATATTACAGAGTAAATGGCTATTAGGAAGGCTAGACAGGTATAGATGATCAAGGACCACAGGTGTTCAGAGACAAGTCGCTTGAATCGGTTTTCAAAGAGGGCCATACACTGTCAGTTACGGTACCAGGCAAGCATGCTGTCTGATGATGTGAACTGAATTTACTGCCCAAATATAATCATTGTTTGACACCCATCTGGAGGCTTGACTCCCCTGCCTCTTTGCAGAAGACTCAAGTCCTGAATCTGTTTGGCCTCCTGTGWTTTTGTCCTGCTACTCATGAGGAAGCTGCTTCAGGTCTCCTTAAGAAGCAGACAGGGTATGAAGCTCCAATCTTGTCACTGTAATGAACTGCTTGGCTCTGTGCTCCCCTCTGACCCTGGAGGGATTGCCTCCATTATAAAGCAAGACAGCCCCCAGGGTAGCTCGGCTTAGCCCTACCCACCAGGGTCTCCTCCWTGTCTACCTTTCACTGGCATTTCTATACCCAAGGGTTTCCTCTGCTTTCTGAGCTAACACAGCCACCAGAGAACAAAGCCACTCCCATGGCCCTCAGAGCAGCTGGTGGGRGGATTACTGTCCTAGCACAGAAATAAAGGGGCTGTAAGGAGAAGAAGCACCTTCAGACCAATCCTGTGCCCTGGGGCCTCTGGTTTCCTGGGAAGGGGCTCTTGGGCTGTCAACACCCCCTCCAGATATAGATGTCTCTGAGCTGTCCCCATGTCCCACAGGGAGATCTCAAAAATAGCCCAGGGAAGGGCTGGGGTTGTGGCTCAGTGGCAGAGTGCTTGCTTCACACATGTGAGGCACTGGTTCAATCCTCAGCACCACATAATAATAAGTAAACAAAAAAAAGATATTGTTTTAAAAACAATAGCCCAGGGACAGACCCTATTGACCAGAAACTGGCCCTTTAAATCAGAACCTTTTGGCAAAGGGAATTGTGGGTGTTTGTGCTTCTCCCTCCCCACCCACTTTCTTTAGTGTGGCATCTAGATAAATTAAATACAAAATCATCTTGTCATTTAGGCAAATCATATTCCCATGACACCAAAATGCACACGTTATAAATATAAACTCATCCCGATCTTATTGAATCCTCTGCTTTCAGAGAACAGTGTCAGTAAAGCCATCATTGGTGTCCCCTCCTACTAGGTAGGTGGAGATCCCTGAAAAGCCTGAGGGTGACTGAAACTTCTCCTGACAGGGGTGTGTCCCTCCATGGCCTAGACCTCATAGCATCCTGCAGGAGAACTTCCTTAAAGCCCTTTCCTTACTTCAAGAATGAAAGTATCACTGGTTTATCAAAGCATCAACAAAGGCTGCCGATCATTCAACCCAAACTTAACACTCGGATTAACCAAGATCCAGTGATGGTCAATATTTTGCCCATGGTCACTGAGCAGTATCTCAATTTCAGGATAAGAAACTCCAGTTTAGGAAAACTCTTGCCCAAATCTCTCATGGTTTGACATTTGAGGATGGTTGTTGTTGCAAATGAGTATACCTCTGCTGAAGACACCCATAATGGGTAGTATTTTCCAATAAAGTAAAAGTCCATATAACACCTTGGCCTCCTGTGCCTGCCTGTTAGAGAACTGGCATATGGAAAACCTGTGTCCAAAACCAAAACAATCACAATGTTCTCCCCCACGGGGCAGCTCAAGATGCCAGCATGTCTGTTCTGCCTCCTGCATTAGGTGGTGTTCTTGACAGTGTACATCAGTGTAGATTCAAGAGATGTGTCCCCAGTATACTGCCCTGTCCATGAAACACAACACAGAAAAGTTGCAAACCTTGCCCCATCCTTAGCAGCTAAAGAAATGATGGAATCAGGATCTCCCTTTAGTTTTGCAAATCCTATAACCAATTTTTCACCTCAGAATTTGTGATACAGGGGCTGACAGCAGAACCCGAATATTAAAACTCAGGACCTCCCAGAGAAATCGGGCCATACAGTTGCCATGCCAACACCCCACAATGCCAAACAAGTGTCTCCGAAGTCCAGAAGGAACTTGGCTGGCTTCAAACAATCCAGACAGCAAGAAGGCAGAGCTGCCGCCTGGGCAGCCTGTTACACAGCCCTTCCCTTCTCCGGCTCAGCTCTTTGATTCCCCAGGGGAGTGATGATGACGCTTGTCTGAATTTGCTCCGCTTCTGAAATCAGGACTGGCCACCTCATTCTCTAAGAATCTGAAAATCCACATGCAACATTCTGACCTGCCTGAAATGGCAAGGACAGTCAGTGGCTACAATTCCAGGGAGAACAATTCTCCAGCTGCACCTGCCCCTTTCAAGTTGAACAAAGGATTCCACTCCTGAAGATGCATGATCTTGCATTTCCTTACCTCCTTACTTACAGTCAGGGTGGACTTGCAAAGAAATATCAAGGGTATCTGAAGCTTCGACCATTGACTGCTCTCAGAAAAGGGCCAGAACGCTATTGCACTTCTTTGCAAAAGAAGTTCTTATTAGGACTTGTTGTGTTCACCAATGTGGAGATGCCAGGAGCTTCCAACACAGTCCCTGCATGCTGAATTTACGCTCGCTTTAGAACTACTCAGAAGGGAATTAACTCAAAGATAGGAATATAAGACCAGGCAGTGTTAAGGGCAGTGTGTGATTGGCACTGATGCTGAYGGAAAAAACTTCCAGAGATAAAGCTTAAGAACGGAGAGGGAGCTGGCTGTGTGCTTAAGTGGCCAGAGAAGGCTCAGTCACTTCGACCCCTGATATTATTACTCTCCCTTTCTTCCTATACCTTCTCTTCCAGGCTCCCAGGTGTCTTCCTGATCCTCTTTTACTCTTTTAAACTTAGCTTCCAGATCTCAGCCCTTTTCTTACCTGCAGCAAGTTAACACCTGTGGTGATAAGGAGGGGCAAGAAGATGCTGGMCAGCACATTCCCCCCACCTCTAATTCCTACCCCTCAAAACAAGGGTTGTATTCCTCCAGCAGTGTCCCCACTCCAGGGCTCACACGTGGGAGGAAGCAGGAGAGAGATGCCCCAGCAAGGTTAGGGTCATGGTTCTGCAGAAGAGGGTCTGGGTGACTTAACCGTGCCCTCTCTCTTCCTCCATACCTTCCCTTGGCCTTTTCCCCCTTCCAACTCAGAGCCTCCTCCCATCAGTCACCAGCATCTGGCCAGCTTGCATCTCCCCTCCTGGCCCCAGGCTGGCCTTCCCTGAGACCAGGCTAGTTCTCCCAGATGAAGGCAGCTAGGATGAGGGCAGTATGGGAGCTCCCCGGGGTCTGGGGCCACTACTGGTCTGGCTGGTTCCAGTTGTAACCTAGACTTCAGCACTCTGGGGTCTTGACACAGGAGGCTTTTCCTCCAGGCTTTCAGTCCAAACACTGTCAAGTGCTTTGGAAACAGTGTCATAGGGAAAGGATCCAGAGCTCAAAAGGAAACCCTCCACTTAAATAGGCTTGCCTCCACAGATGCATCCAGACTGGGATCTAGGATAAAGTTCATAACCCATTATTTCTGCAAAGGTCAGGTTCCTTTGCAGAAATAATGGTTCCTTTGCTGAGGATTTTTACTTCTTCCCAGGTGGGTAACAAGAGTGGAATCTGGGGCAGGATGGGAATATGAGAGTGGTCCACCGATTGCTTCATGTTCCTGGAGTTCTGAGGCACCTTTGTACTTATGTACGCTAGTCCACAACAAACCTCAGCTCTCCTGACCTTGTACCTCCCCGAGGAGCTCCTCACCCCGCCTCTCCCAGGCCCAGATCTTTCCACGTCAGGATTGCACCCTCCCCCAATCCCCTACTCCGGCTCCACTCTGCTTCCTGGTCCTCGCTCCCCCAGGCTGCCGCGGCCAGCAGTCTGTCGGGAGGGTAGTCAGAGACTCTCGTTCACCACTGGCCCCTGTTGGAAGAACGCACCAGAACGCACGCGTTCAAGTGCGCTCTCTGCGGAACCCAGAGTCTCCTGCTTCAACAGGTGCCCCTGCCTGGCCACAAGAAGCTGTCACCCCGTGCCCGGGCGCCGATAGGAACGCCCCCTGCAGGACGGCTGGGGCTCCGCAAGCCACCRCCGGGGTCCCCAGAGCGCCTAGGGCCCCGCAGCTCCACCAAAGCCCCAACCATTCCACACAGCCTTTGTTTCCCTGCTTGCTAAGCCGTCCYGGAGCTGACCCCATGCGAAGGAATCGCTGAGTCCAGGCGCGGACACAGCCGGCTCAACTGTAGTGTGAACACTAAGGTTGGGGGTGCGGGGCGCATACAGTACAAGACCCTTCCCTGACCCACAGAACCCCCTTGGAAGGGTGTCAATGCCAAAGAGAAAGGTCCACGTTGATCCGGATGAGAAGCAGCGCTTAGCGACCCTTCCCTACCCACGCCCCCACCCGATGTCCTTTATCCCCAGGAGGCTGGAGAACCAGTGCGCACCGCCACCTACGCGCTCAGCTGCGCGGTTTCCACCGCCTGATCGCTGCGCTCAAGGGCCAGCTGCTTTCTCCCCCCGGCAAGGCACCCTCAGCCCCTCAGCCCCCAGCCCCGGCTGCGCAGAGCCGGGAGATCCGCCACGTTCCCAGTCGCGCGTGCACGCAGGGCCCACCAAACTTGCAGCACTTTCTCCCAACCCCCACCCACTGTCACCCTCCCTCCATCCAAGCACCCTGGCCCCGCCGGACCAGCAGAGGTTGCCATAACAACAAATAGGAATGCTCCAACGTATACAAAGCCGGCCTGGCGCGGCGGGCCCCGCGCCCTGGGCTGCCGCGCGGGGGCAGGACGCGCGCCGCGGCTCCCCCGCCGCGCTGGGCGTACTCACAATGAGCGGGATGGTGCGGTCCTCGCGCAGCTGCTCTGGCCTCCCGCCGGTCTTCTGCGCGCCCCGGCCGCCGGAGGCTGCGTGGGCTCGGTTGTCCTGCCATAAGTAGTAGAAAGTGCCCAGGATCCAGGCTACGGTCAGGATGGCGATGGCATTGGCTCGGATCTTCCTCATGGTGGGCAGCCGGGCGCCCAGGGTGGGAGCCGGGTCCGGCGTGCTCTCGAGGCCGGGGCGGGGGCGCTACCAGCCCCAGCTGTTTGTTTTCGCTTGCGCCAGGCTGCTCAGTCCTGCAGAGCAGAAAAAGGAGAGAGGTGGGGGGGGGGGGGTTGTGATAGGGAGAGACAGGAGCGCGGAGCGATCCTCACGGTCCTAATGCCCTTCAGCCCGCGCTTCCCCCGGGCGCCCATTCATTCGCGCGCAGAGCCTCATCCGCGCTCCAGCTGCTGCTGGCGGCCCGGGCCGCTGCGCACCCGTAAAGGAGCGCCGGGAATGGAAAGTAGCACGGGCCTTCCTCCTGCGCTCGGGGACCTGGCGAGACAGACACCCGCGGCGGAATGGCGACGGGTCGGAGCCAGCTTGGTCTCCCACCGCTCGCCGACCGATCGCCCGGCGCTGCCCCCGCGCGGCCCTAGTGGGTCCCGCCTACCCACCCCACCCCCGGACCAAGAGGCCCTGAGTCACCGACCAGAAATGYGCGACCCCCGGCCTTGGCCCACGCAGTGGAGCTGCAGTTCCGGGCGGCGCTCTGAATTGCGCTCCGGCGAGGGGTTCTAGGTGTGTTTTGCGAGTCCTTGGGAAAGGGTGGCAGGGAGGAGAGGTGTCCTGAGTTTACACTGGAACCCTCCACAGCCTAGATTCCGATCCGTGGGGGAGCCGCCCAGAGGAAGGTTTGGAAGCTGGTGCACTTGACATTYGGGGAGAGCGAAGGGGGAGCGACATTGTCTCGCAGCTAGGGCGAGGAGAATGGRGATACAATCAGTGTACATCTTTCATTGGCCCAGGGTTCCGGGCTTTTATGACACTTTCCTACATCCTGCCTCGCTGTCCCCTGGATAACTCTGAGGTATCTTCATCACTATTTCATCAGAAAACAGAAGCCAGAGTGGCCCGGCGATTCCCCAGAGGTCACATGACTAATTAGTGGGAAGAGCCCAGTCTACAACCATCTGACACTCTTCTACAAGCCATCTGACACTTTTCGACAAAGTGCAAAACACGGTGGTGAGAGACACATCACTGAGATTCTGCGCCGGTGCTGGAGGCGGTGACAATCATGTGTGAACTACTCTCTCCTGACAAAAGGCCAGGTGGGCTAGATTAGCCCTAGGAGACCAGCCCAGGGTGGGGGTACAGGCCGACACTCAATGAATAAATGGGAAACGATGAAGTAAGATCACAGAAAGAGAAATAATTTATTGCAAGGCGGTCTTCTTTTAGTTGCCAGGAAAGCTGCTTAGAGAAGTCCGAATAAATCCTTCAGAGGCATAAGGGGGAGGGGAGGGCAGGATCATGAATAGCTGCCCCAGCAAAGGTCCAGAGGATGGAAGCATTTGTGTTAAGGAGATAGCGCCKGACCTGGTAAGGGTTTGGTGGGAGTTGAGGCTGGAAGACTGGGCTGGTCTGGACTCAGGAGATCCTTAAATGCCAGGAGCAGTGGGCAGGGAGTTTGCTTCCTGTTGATGCTGCTGGGTWTTATGGCTCTTCTGAAGACTCAGGTAGGGTCAGGGCTCCAAATGAAGCCACCTGGGGAATCAGGCAGTGAGGTCACAGCGTCAAGTCCTCCCTCCCTCACACTGTCTGCACCACCCTGAGGCATGGAAGTGAATAAGGAGGTGTTTCTCTGTTTCTCCATCTCTTTCTCCATCATTCTGGAAGTGAACTATGTACATAATAGATGCTTGATACCTTTCTATTTAGGGAAAGGGAAGAAACTCCACTTGATTTTCCCAGAAGACTTATCATCACAATTATGATACCTTGACTCAAAAGACTGATCATGAGGATACCTAGACAATTCTCCAAATGGCCCAACCAGGGAGGTGACCCTACAAAATAGAGAACACACCAAAGAGGGTCTTTGAAAATAGCAGGGAGTCTTAGGAATAGTCTGTGTGGCCATCATAAACAACAGGCAAGAGGACAGAGATGCCCSGGTCCTGTCCCAGGTCTCTCTCACCTGGGGAGTTCAATCAAACTGCCTAGGGCCCAGGATTCATTTGCACAGATGGAGAAAATCACTGTGAAGCTACTGCCTGATTTCACAGGAATCATGGGACAGATCCAGTGTCACAGCATCTGTGTGAGGCCAGGGAAGAAGATGTTGCTCCTTAGGCACCAGGCTCCACAGACATCTCTAGTCAACCATGAAAATGAAAGGGAACTGCTCTCTTGGTGCCGCCTTTTAACACAGGTGATCTATCAGGAGGTCAGCCAGGTGGGAGGACTAGGGACCAGCCCTCTAGTTGCCATAGGTTGCTCCCTGCATGTCTGGTTGCCTTTGATCTTGAGAGAACCAGGTGAAAGGATGTGGGGTCCAAAGGCATCCCCTCAACTTGAAAAACTCACCCCTGGGTATGGGAGGTGAAGCTGGGCCATGCCAGGCTGATATCAGGCTGAGGGCTTTCTGGTGGCTCCATGAGGTGAGGGAGGGGGAAGATGGAATTTGGCAGGGTTTCTACAAGTCTCACCACTTATTCCCCAGGAATAAGTGGAGGCCAATTGTCATTATCTGGCAGCTCTGTCCMTAAGATAAAACTTCCCTCACCCTCCACCAGAGGGGCATAGCCCTTCATGAAAGTGTTAGACTGTTAGACTGCACAATAGCCCTCAGATGGGCACTTCTCTGGGGATGGAAGTAAAAGAGGGCTGGAAGTCACTATGCTCATTTAACTGACTGAAATTTGACACAGAGGTTGACTGATGTGCCTTAAGCCACAGGCACTCTGGCAGAACTGGGGACTAGAAACTGCCACCTTGGCTACAAACTATGGTCATCCTTCCAGATTTGAATCACAAATGGGCCCAAAACTGAGTCTGAGGTAGATTTCAGTGATCAGGGATAACAATTTTGTTTCCTCTCTGGTCCTAGAGTGGATCCCAGCAGAATGACAGATCAAAGCCATCCCTAAGAGATTTGCTGATTCCTAGTGTTCACTGAACTTTAAAAACAAGAGTAATTGTATTAGCTACAGTTTACTCAGGACCTCCCAGGTGCCAGCCAGCCCCCATGCGTACATTCCACATGTCCTGTCTCTAAAGTTCTCATGCTCTTGAGATGAGTTCAAGATTACCATCCCCACCTGCAGCTAAGGACCCTGACACTTCACAGGGCTCTGTTTAATTATTTGCCTGGAGTCTGACAGCAGGTCAGTGGTGGAGCTGGGTTTAAATCCTGAGCCATTTTCAATGTCAGTGTGTGGACACGGGTGCAAGGCAGTCTGCAGGGTGCTTAAGAGTTCTATGTGCAGAGGTCTCCCGTCACTTTGGGCCTGTCCTCTCCTCTGGAAAAGGAGGGATACAGAGACATGCTCTCAGATTCCCTCTAGCTGAGCCATTTTAAACTTCTAGTTCTTAGGCATGTTCCCCTSTTTGCTATTTCTCTCAAGCTCAGTTCACCTTCTCTTTTAAGGCCACCAAAGCTGGCCTGGGGTAAGCTGGGACCCCAGTTGATGTGCAGCTGGACAACTCAATTCAAATGCTAATTATGTCACAAAAGAGGAGAGTGAGCAAATTCCTAACCTGAGTTTCCTCAACTGTAATATGAGGGTGTTAGCCCTTACTTGAAGCCCTGTTGGGAAAGACTGAATGAAATTCAGTGCCTAGTAACCACCCCAATCTACTGGAGACCCGCTCCCACAGACATGCTCTGGGGGTGAGAAGGGACTCCTGAAGGGCCTGCCCAGAGAACACGAAGGGGACTGCTGCCATGGCTGCCAAGAACAGAGCACAAGCCACACCTAAGGTCTGATAAGGGTGAACTGTCCTGCCCAACAGGTGGGTGGATGCCTTTTCCAGAGCCTCTGCTGGGCACACTAAGGCAGGGTGGAGGAGAGAGGCACAGAGCAGGGCCCCCGCCTCTTTGTGTCCAATACTCTTAGACCTGTGCCAGCTCAGAAGTGTCTTGTCCTGTCTGCTGCTGCAGCAGGCCCCCAGGACATAGGGGAGACACCTGTTGGATTCCCAGCCCTGCCCATGTCTGTCCTAAGCAGAAGAGAGGCTGSTAGGGGTACAGAATGTTCATAACCAGGCAACACATGCTATGCTGATATGGGATCACAGAATACAGGCACCTGTGAAGAAGGTCCTGAAGCCCCCATTTTACAGATGAGACTCATGCCCACAAAGTCACAGCCATCCAGTGGATGTATGCTGCCCACTGCCAGCTGATCACGCTTAATGCACCAATTGTCTTCCCAGGAAAAGGTATCTGTAAGTTTCTATAAACTGTTATGGATGGAGGGCAGGACCTGGCTTTTTTTTTTTTTTTTTTTTTGTACCAGGAATTTAACCCAGGGGCACTTAACAACTGAGCCACATCCCCAATCTTTTTTTGTATTTTATTAGAGACAGGGTCTCATGGAGTTGCTTAGGACCTCACTAAATTGCTGAGGCTGACTTTGAACTGGCGATCCTCCTGCTTTAGCCTCGTGAGCCACTAGATTACAGGCATGAGCCACTGTGCTCAGCTAGGACCTGGCTCTTTGAAAGGAACTTCCAGTCTTATTCTCAATCCAATTTGTCTGATAACCTTGGCTTTTTATCACTGGTTTCTGCCACTAAACTGTAAACTCTAAGAGGGCAAGGCTTTTTCTGTTTTTGTGATTTTTGTTTTCTTTTGCAGTGCTCGGGATCAAACCCAGGCCAAATGCACTACCACTGAGCTACACCCCAGCCCTTGGGTGTTCTTTTTTTATCTTAATTTTTAAAAGCAAGATCTCACTGTGTTGTCTAGGCTGGTCTTAAAACTCTAGGGCTCAAGTGATTCTCCCACTTCAGCCTCCCGAATAGCTGGGGCTATAGGTCCTCCCTCAGGGGTTCTATTCATGAGCTGCCCTCAAGATGAGGAGGTGAGAAAGTCTTTTGTGGTCCCATCAGAAGTCATAGAAGGAGTGACCCTGATTCTGTTGGGCAATGGCAGAACTATGATGGTTATTGCTGATCATAATGACCCAGCTTCTGCATTTGGGAGTAACAGGACTGCAGAGGCTTTAAATTCTGTAGCTTTAAGCTCTAGTGCACACCTATAATCCCAGCAGCTCAGAAGGCTGAGGCAGGAGGATCGAGAGTTCAAAGCCAGCTTCAGCAAGCTTAGTGAGGTCCTAAGAAACTCAGAACCTGTCTCTAAATAAAATATAAAAAAAGAGTAGGGATGTGGCTCAGTGGTTAAGCACCCCTGGGTTTAATCCCAGGTACTAAAAAAAAAAAAAAAGTGTCAAATGCTCTTTACTAACAGCAAGAAATTCATACCAAAAAAATGCACAAATCAAGCTACTGGTTAGCAGAACTGGTCCCAGAGGCGGAACCTTTTCCAAGGC